TTTTTTTTTTTTTTTTTTTTATTTCACATTGTATTATCAGCTCATGTATACAACTCCATCGTCCTGCAAGTATAAAGCTGGCCATACACCTTACAAATATCTGCAGATTTTCTGTGGTCAGATGGAAAAGGTGCAACAGATTCCTCCATCTACACTTAACTGTGTGTATAGAGTAATCTCCACCTGGGCCAAGCTTCTGTAATCTTGCTAGTCAGCCCCACTGGCTCTCAAAACACCTGAACAATTCCTGCATCCAATCAGATTGTTCTGGTATTTTGACAGCCAGTGGGGCCGACTAGCAAGATACTGAAGCTTGGCGCAGTGGGAGATTCCTCCATCCACACAGTTTAGCGTAGATGGAGGAATCTGTTGTACTTTTTCCATCTGACCACAGAAAATCTGCAGATAATTGTAAGGTGTATGGGCACCTTAAGAGTTGTTGTGCAGTGGATTACAGTAGGATAATAACAAGGCAGATGTGAGTATTTATACTAATTTTATGTTAAATATATTTATTTGATCTAATAATGAACCCATAATTAGATTAAATAAGGAGAGCTTTTAATGTGGAAGTTAACATAGAGCTGCAGGAAAGGAAAGGTTGATTATTAAAGAAGTGCTAACAGCGAAGGACTAGCTGATTTTATGAAAAAGCAGTGGAAACACTCACTTATGAATGTGTTAACTTTCAGAATATTCAGAACTAAAAAAAAATAAAAATGCCCAGTCATTTATAAGGCCATCACGTTAAACGGAACTTTGACATGAAAAACATTTTTGCTTGCTTGCCCACTTTTTGGCGGAAAAGACTCAGTATGCCTTTCCTTGCCTACTTCTAGCATTACCTTTTAAAACGCTGCCTGCTGCACATGGGCAGTATACAATCATGGGAGAAGCATGAGTGCCAGCATGGTGAGACTTTGGTCTATTGATGCAAGGGTCAAGTGTTGGCTGCAGGTAAAGTTTCCCGAAAGATGGCAGGGGCAGCTGTGAAGCACCAAACCGCCATTCAGTGCATGCTTTTTTTATGGGGGGGGTTTGCAATTTAAGTACTGGGCAGACAAAAGGGGGAAAAATTCTTTAAAATGAGCTATTACAATTAAAGAATGGCTAACTTCACCTCTTCAATCATATGCTTTACTTTCTTCTGTTGACAGTGAACCATGTCATCTAGGTGCTTAATTCTCTGCCGTAAACTTGTTGCAGCCTCTTCTAAATTCTGTGTCCTGTAAGAACCAAGGTAGACATATTACTTTACAGTACAAAATTTAACTAGGAGATCACATACTAAAAAGTTTTTCAAGATTTAAACAAGTTTTTTTTGTGGTCATATAGTTTGTAAAAGGCAACCATGTAAGAAATGGCAAATGTCCATAGTGTTAAATAAAATGAACAAGAAATGACATAGCAGGCCCCTTTTTCATAAAGCTGAATGAAAATTTTGATTAGGCCTTTTTTTTTTTTTAGTCTGGCATCACCATCTCCTGCATTCTGCACTTTATCATGTAATGGAAAATATGAAAAAATGAAAAAAAATAATGGGGCATACTGTAGGAGTAGGACTGTAGGAGGTTAGAATTTCAGCCACATAGGCTAAATTAAATTTTCATTCCAGAGAGCCCTGGTATTAGGGTGCCCTATAAACATTCCAGATTGATGTGATACCATACCACTAGCACTTTATTACTTTTCCTTAACTTATCTCTAATAGTAGAAACAATTAATAAAGCTGATAAAGTTACATTTTAGCATCTGTAACAAGCAAATCAACAGGAAATTAGCTGAAACACACTCTGGTTCAATATGGGTCTATATTAATAACAACCACTTACAAACTCATCCACAACTCTGCCCCCAGCTATAGCTTAAACCTTGTCTCAAAGTATCACCGTAACCTTCTCCTCCGCTCTTCCAAACACCTCCTGCTTCCCAGCTCCCTCTTCAACTCCCATGCTCGCCTCCATGACTTCTCTAGAGTCACTCCCATCCTCTGGAACTCTTACCCCAACCTGTCCGTCTATCTCCCACTCTGACTGCCTTTAGGCAATCCCGTAAGACTCATCTCTTCAAGGAAGCTTATCTCACCTCAAACTAACCACTGAACTATCATGTTCTCAAACAATTCATCCCCACACAGCTACCACTTCTTGTTTAACTTGCAATGTCTTCCTTGTATTGTAAAGCGCTGCGCAAACTGTTAGCACTATATAAATCCTGTATAATAATAATAATCTTGTATCTTATAACAGAAATGAATACAAAATTGCCAGACTAAATGAATCCTTTCTAGCATCTGTCTGTAACAATTTCAAGCACATATATATTTACCTTGCTCTCTCTGATGCCGTTATCTCCATTTTAGCATCAAGCCTCTGTATTCGCTCTTCATGGCTTGTTAACTGCACTTGTAGTTGTTCCCTTTCCTATGGAGGGGGACATTTTCATCACATTTACAATACTTATAATTTATATGCATATATTTAAAGCAGAATAGGTATATACTACCAATAAAAAGTATAGATGACTAGGAAATAATCATTCCAGTACCTGCTGCATTCGCTGGACTAACTTGTCAAGTTCTGAAATCTTTGCATCACGTTCTTCTATCTTGGCCTCTGCTACTTGGACCTTCTCACTGGCATCTTCAACAGCCTGTATGTACTGTTTTGTCTGTCTCTTTAAATAAATGCAAACATGTATTTATTGAAAAAGTGCTCAGACTGTTGTCCAGGCTTCAGAATCTGATGTAAACAGAGCTCTGGTGGAGCACCGGAAAATGGGGTGAGATCTGAGGTCTGCTATTATGCACTTAGATACACCAAAACTGCAGTCCGAGATAGCATAAGCTAGTAATAATAGCTCTGCCTCCTATTAGAAATCAATAATGATTGAAAAACAACTGTGTGGTCACCAGCCCCCCCCCCCCCCCCAAAAAAAAACCCAAAACAATTATGATTGGAGCAAACTTCCTGAGATTATCAATATGGTAACATTTAGAGAGAAAGGATATTTCATACACCTATCCATAGCCACACATGTGAAACCATCATCTCCTTCCGTCAACCTTGCACCACAATGAAAGTAGAAAAAAAATCTGTTTGATATACACATTATATGCATATATAACAACAGGCAGGACAGGTAGCATGTATGAATGTTATAATCATTCATTAAACCCTAGTCCATTCCTCACTCACCACATTCTCATTTAGAGGTACATGAATATGAAATGTCAGATTTAGTGATATGCAATGAGCACAGCAACTTGTTTTCTGACACACAATGTCCTCTCAACCTCCTATGTAACAGATTTAAAGGAATCTGAAAATCAAGTCCAGTATCAGCCTGTCAGATACAGATGAGGGGTTAAAATTCAGTGTGGCACACAGCAGCACGTTTTTCAATTCTAGGAGATCTGGAGGAACAAGCCTTTTTAAAATTCTCTTTATAAATAAGACATCAGCATCCTATAATCATTTGAAAATGCAATTCAGACTATATTGTTTAGGAACCTACAATAAGAACTTCTTTTTCTGTATTATATTTAACTTCCTCTTCCTGGAGCTTTTCTTCGTATTGACTGTACAATTTTCTTGTCATCTCTCGCAAGACGTTAGCGTTGGCTTCCTGAGAGGATTCTATCTGTTGAAATAAAAAAATATATATATTTTAAATTTGTATGATAAAGACAAGAGGTTCTTCTTTGAGGTACGGAAGGTTGTATATAAAAGTTTTAATTCTCAAATTTTCTAAAACTGTATCAGTGTGTGTAGATCACTAAAGAAGAACCCCAGGCAAGACTATTATTATCTCTTGCAGTGGGGCTACTGCGCACTACAAGTATTAACTGCCTGTTTTCGTCTAGGTACTGTAATATAATCAGAGATGACTTGTTCTTAGACCGGTCCTTCCAGGCTCACTCCCCCTCCTCTGCAGCGGTCTAAGGATCCTCGAGTCATCACGTTCAATAAACAGTGTATAGGACATGAGGACGCAGAGAGACATACCATTGCTGCAGTGTAGGAGTAGACAGGCTGGAGAGAGCAAGCCAGCTATGAGGATTGGGTGAATATATCTTTTATATTTTACCACTTAGACAAAAACAAGCAGGTAACCCTTGCAATGCAATGCGGGGGTAGCGCCACTGCAAGGGTTAATAAAAGTTTTGCCCGGAGTTCTTCTTTAATTCAAAAGATACAGCATGGCTGACTCAGGGACTAAACTACTGACCTAAAAGCAGATAATAAATAATGGGCTGAACTGAGTGGGATAAATCTACAAGGGGCAACACTGTATCTACTAAGGGCCATATATACTTTATTTCAGAACAGATAATAACATATTGGTAATCAGCCTTGGTTCAGCTAACTGGAGAGATGAATGGCTGATTTTGTTCACTTGGATATAACCCATACATGTATACAAAGACTTAATCCTGCCATACATAGCTTTAATTTTGGCTGAACTGGATGACTTGGCCTGGCATAGCCTGTGGGCACCTTCAATTTTTCAACCGACTTTTGCGACTGCTTGACTGACAATTCAAGGAAAATTGTTGTTATGGCTGTCTGAATACAATAGCCAGCAGGGAAGATTCCTCCATGCACGCTGTTGAGGGGGGAATCATGCGTTAATGTGCGCTGTGATGAGGCAACCTATTCATTTGAATGGGCTGTCAAACCTGCCAAACACACAAAAAAGGTGCAAGCACCATTGTTGGCAATGCAGCACACCACATCGCACACAGTACTGCATGGGATAGTGTGTTCGGGCGCAATTCAGAATGAATGGCACTGTAGCACACCAACAGGCAAAATGCACGTTACAGCAATGGAACAGTTTGAATTCTGCCTTTATTTAGTTGTTGTACAACCTCTGCCTGAGGCAGACTGGTAGCTGAGAAGGTACAGTAGGTACATCTTAAGTCCAACAAAAGAGCATTGCAAACAGTGAAACATACTTAAAAAAACACATTATCAGAAGCTTTGCATGAGCTTGTATTCGGCCTTGGAAAATTGTCTGACAATGTACACTTAAATAATCCTAATGCCCTTTTTCATTTCATTCTTAAAAAAAACTAAAGCCTTTTTTTGGCTTTAGTTCTCTTTTGGGTCACAGGGGGAAAATGTACTAATGTCCTCCTGTGACCTAAAGTCAGCACTTAGCGGGCTACTGTCGAGATACCCCCTGCTCTCTGCACGGAGTAAACCGTGAGCTGAGAGATCAGCAGTTCATGATCACTCAGCTCTTGATCTATAGAGCCACCTTGTGACTCGCTGCAGTGTCTCCACATCGACTAACTATTGGGAAGAGTACATTTTACACTCCCAATACTTCTGCTTTAAACAGACAATCACAGCAACAACTCTGAGCCATGGTCCACATAGTACCACTGTGGTTTACTGTAGGCATTTACCTTGATTTTTAATTGTTGATTTTCTGCTTGTGCAGCTTCCAGCAGCTCCTGTTTTTCTTTTAATTTATCTAAGGACTTGTCAAAGGAATGTTTCAAGCTCTTCACCTCGTCTTTGATACTGCAGTTTTCCAATGTCATATCCACCAGTGTTTTCTGAAACAGACACAAACAATGCTGAATAATAGTTGACTTTAAATTTATGAAACTGGAAGTTTACTATTTGGAATTATACGTACATTTCTTTGTCCACTGAAGTTAAAATCTACACTACACTCAATTGTAACACCATTTTTAAAGTGCGAAGGAGGGGTGTGGAGTCATGGAAAGATCAGAGAAAAGTTATACATCAGTACTTAAAATGACAGCTGTACCTTAACACTAACTATCACTGAATACACCCCCACCCTCCCTAGTTAAACTGTGGTATCCCCTGCCCACCACCTCAGCTGTTAACTTACCTCTGTTGAGAGGTACAGAGCCACAGCCTTCTCCAGGGTTTCCAGCCTGATGGACAAAAACCTCCTCAGCTTGTGCTAGCCACGTCTGCACACTTCATCCACATTGACTTGGATGGTGCCATATACAAACATTAGAGATCCTCAGTATGTATCCCTTTTCAAGTCAATGGGGACTCCAGCACTGAAGAGATTTTTATTACCTCCTGTTGCAAAGCCCAAAATGGCTCTGCAACAGGAGGTAAGTAAACAGTTTGGGGGGAGTTTAGATTAGTGGGAGGTGGGATGGTGGATTTAACAATAGTTAGTAAAAATTCTACCCTACTGCTCTACTCCAACCACTGTAATATTCTCTTCAACAGTCTAGTGGATGGAACACCAACGTAACAAAATGCTTATTCCCGTTTCTCCAAGGAAAAAGGCAGGATGGGCATTTACAAACACAGACTTTTTCTTACACATTGGAAATTTTGTGAGGAATAATGGTCCATAGCACCTTGGCTGCCTAAATATACTTTAATGTGTAGTAAACTAGAATGAAACTGACACACCTAAAAGAATATTTCATTAATTCCTTGCAATGCAAAAAATGGATTCTTCAAAGTATTTTTACATGTATGTTGCCCCAGATTTTACTTCTACAAAAGATACAAAAAACTCTATATCTAGAACTCTGGATAACAAGTTGGCCTTACAAACGTTGTCAGCTAAAAGTCTTTTTTAAATCCCATTGGCTCACATGGGGGCACGTTGGCACATCTGCTGCCCCCTTGTCAGCCAGAGCGTCGCGGGGACACTCTGGCTTGTATCCGGTTTCTGATTGCTGTGATATATTTAGAATATTCATATTCATAATGTGAAAAGGAGGCCTGCTGTCCATTTTTAAAAGGCAATGTTTCCCAAAGTCATCACCTTTTAACTATAATTTTGCTATTAGAACATATGTTTATTGCAGATTCTTCTAGTTGAAGTGATCTGCTTATATGAATCTCACATACCTGTATGTCCACTGAGGAAGCATTTAAAGAGCTATTAACTGAATCAAGACTGTCTATGACAGATGCTTGTTTGTGGGAATGGTGCTCCAATAAGTCTTGCTTTGCTGATGAAACCTGGAATTAAAGGAAACAATTTATACAGAAGACTATATACACTCAATAGTTTGTATTGATGGCTCTTTAAATATATCTACATGTGATGCCCTGTGAACGTTTGGGAATAATGGGCCAAACAAGTAAGGAAATAGGTAATTCTGTGTCAGTTTATAGACTCCTGCTGATGCTTTCAGCTAGGATGATTTACATAAACTAGAACAAAGAAAACTGGAACAAAATGGCAAACAAATTACAGTATCTGAGATTAGGTGTGTATGTGGGGGGGAGGACTCCCGTATTTGTCTCCAGACAGGTTCCTAACAGGTAAAATTCAGTATCCGTGAGATAAGTAGTTATTGCTTACATATTAGCTGTTGCTTAACTGCTCTCTAAAACATGTTACATGATACAATGTACATTTTCTAGCCAATCCCTTTTCCTTCCTAATACACATGAAAATAACACAAATACTTACTTTCATTTCTTGTGTGAGGCGTTTCATTTTCTCTTTCATATCGTCATATTCACCAAACATTTTCTCTCGTATTTTTTCCAGGGTTACTCTCACCTGTAGTAAAATTGGAATATATTGATGTTAGTAATGCTTTTTTTTTTAGATCTGGATAGAGTAGGGAATGGTTAAAGTGACACTAAACTCAGGAGTTAAATCTTAAAAATACATTCAAGACCTTAACTGTTAACAAATGTATCTTATATGTGTATCACTCGGCTGTAGATCCTCAAATCATCTCTGAAAGTAGCCACTGTTCCAAGCTCACTCCTGTGATGGACTACAATCTCATGTTTAGTTTACTAATTTGTAATAAAATTGTAGCCCATATTGAGACTGAGCCGCGACACACAGATTGTTAATAGGGTACTGGAATGTATTTATAAGATTTAACGCCTGTGTTTTGTGTCACTTTAAGACTGTCAGGTTTTACTTACTCCCTGTGTCCAACAAGGAAGATTTCCCTTCACTTTCTACTCCAGAGACATAAGAGGAAGCAAGTGGAAATTGAGACAATGATCCCCATGACAAAATCGAGAGAGTGGCTCTCCCCATCAAGGACACATACAGAAATAAAAATCTATCACAGGTTTTAACATTTCGATAATAGTTGTGGCTTTACATACACTATAAAAGGAGAATTATGAGGTGAGTGATTTTCACTCAGCCTCATAGTTTTAGCCGACCTGTGACAATTAAACTGTCACAAGGCGGCTCAATAGATCGGGGAGTGAACGCATACCATCGCTCACTTCTCGATCTATCCCTGCAGAGAACTGTGACAGTCACTCACGGCTCCCTGCAGGGATTCCCCTCCTCCCCTGTCCGATCCTCCAGCGCCGACTGGCGGAACAGCCGGGGGAGGGGGCGGGTACAGCTGGTTCTGCCTCTAGATAGGCAGATCCAGCTGTCAACCCCGCAGCTGGGTGGATCTCGACAGTAAAGTCGGGATCCGCCCCGGCTGCGGCATCTCAGTATACCGCGAGCTACTGAGCTTTGGGTGACGGGAGGACGCTAGTTTGTGTTCTCCTGTTACTATGGGGAAAAGCCCTAACCCCATAGTTCTCCTTTAAGGGTCTATTTTTAAAGCATTAAATCAATAGTTTCCTATTTTGTTAAATGGAAATATTAATTTTAACGTTCTGCCTGGTACAACTTCACTGCTAATTTTCCCCATATTTGGATAACAATAAACATTTATTTTGTTTGCCTATTTATCATTTTTGCTTAGTTAAGAACCCCTCAAAATCTGGTACAATTCATTATTTTAAATGCAGAGAATCTCCACTGCGTTTTATATAAAGCTATCCATTTTTTACACGTGTGCCACATTTTGCAATGTTTTGCATGTTCTTTCACTAATTGTTTTCTGGCTATTATTCATCATGTTTAATCTGCATTGTGAAATTGCTGCTCTCTTGGTCACTTGTGTCTAAACTGCTGAAAAAACAGGGAAGAATTTGTGTAAAATCATCTACAGACCATTATGTCATTTGCATCATATATTCATTCTACTGGGAGCACACACCGTATACAAAACAGCACAAGATGACATAATGCTTATTTTTCTCTCAAGATGTCAAGGTTGGTTTTTCCTTTAACTAACCAGAAAGAAATGTAAAGATGCTGGAAACTAGAAGAATATCATGCCTCTTAATTCTGTCTAGATTCCAAGAGAATCCTAAACAAGGGCAGACATTACTCTTATTGCTTTAAAGATTGCCCAAGAGCATCCCCGATATCCCTTTAGATGGTTAGACACAACTGATGATTAATCTGCAAGATCTATCATTATACGATATGTAATGAAGTTATTACTTACTGCCTTTTTAAGTGAACCTATAAAACGGGAATGTCAACTTTCCCACATGGTGCATTGTGTGACAGAATTACATATAGACAGCCAGCTGCATTTAGTACTGCAGTCAGCAGGCTAATTTCTGCTGGAAATAGGAGCCTGATATAGATGGAAGACTTTAGAAAAGAGAAATAAATAAGATTTATGTACTTTTAGAGACTCATCACTGTAAGAACACTGAACATTGCTGACGGGTATGAAGAGCAGACACCCAGAAGTGCCTTTAGTATCCTCTGGTTTGCCCAAATGGCAAGCTGTTCTAACTAGCAAAGCTCCCACAATATAGCTTGGCCCATCACTATGTTGGACTGCCTCACTAATGAACAAACTAGAGGATACTTAAAGCTGTGGCAGGTATGCATGTCAGAGTCTTTAAGGCCTCATTCACACCCAACGCAAGAGCAAAATTGTATATTGTGTATATGCGCGTATGTACGTGCGTATATGCCCGTATTTATATGCATATACGTGCGTATATGCGTGCACTATATGCAATCCCAGAATGCATCACTCGTAATGGAATTTTTTATGTGCTGCAAGCATGTACGCGCGTATATGCGAGTAAACACGCGTATGTGCACATAAATATGCAGCAATATGCTGCCCGGACGCATCTCTGTTCCATTCTGGTTTTGCGCATATATACGCTACGCAAATATACGGCTCCATAAGTGGCTATGTGTATGGAGCCATTTATTTGCATGTGTTGCATATAGTACAATACGCACGTACGCGCAGATACGCGCGGCAGTTTGAATGAGGCCTTAAAGTAAATCCCCTACTGAGCTAAAGTTGCCAAACTGACAGCAGTCCCTAATGACAGTCTTTCCTAAATGGTTATACGTGGGCTTACAAAGAAGAGTCTGAGGGCAATTTGTGCATAGATTTTATTCCTGCATTTAAGTCAATATGATTGTATGGCAAACACATGGTAAATGCATGACAATGACATCCCATATACCCATATCTGTTAGGCCTAATTCTAAAATCCTCTTCTGTTGTATGACTGGATATTCTGCATTGTGCAACACTCTGCTGAAATAGGCCTCACATTGTCTCCTAATTCGGAGATTGTTCAAATACCATGTCTGCCTACTGTCCAATGAGGCTCAACAACCAATATAGACTTGTAGCCAAGGAGCAGTCCCCCACCTCCATCCTGACTTTCTTGCCACAGTGTAGCAGCTTAAAACATACCTATCCTAATTAACCCATTGCTCTAGGTCTTAGTAGCACTGGTTACCGGATCTCAGCCAAAAGGAAAGATCGCTCTTCAAGCAGAGACACTGAATTGCTGGTTCTGGGTGAACATCAGTACCCTAAGCCCGTAACTGAGAATAAGTGACCAGTGCCTTAGCATTTGATCACCTTAAGGATAAATATTTCCCCATTTCTTATACCATATATAAATATACTGGCGTGATAAAGTCAGGATGTGAGGTTGGTATTAATCTTTAGGTCTACTCTAAGGTATACATAGCCATAGCTCAAATTATATTTAGAAGATCAGGAACTGGACTAGGAAAGGGATTTACACCAAAACTCATAATAATTTAGGATTATAGAGCTTGAATTAGCTTAATCAGTATGTACGGCAGATAGGCATGTAGGGTACACAGGTAGGATATATCATAACACATAAATATTCCGGTGGTCCGTGAAATGCAGAAGGATAGCAAATGGTATCTGAACACTGTAGCTTATAGCACTGACCAAACTTTGGAAATGCCAACCATTCTAAGCATAAAACGCTGACAAAAATGTTAACTTACATCTTTAATGTAGTTCATCTCTTCTTTCAGCTGATGGGAAGACCATTCATAAACAACAACCTCATTCTGATGATTGTTTTCAGCCCTTTGCACAACTCCATAAACTACACCATGGGGAGGCGTTCCAGAAGATGGAGTCCTTCTAGGAACAGTGTAAAGGTGCTGTAAGGTAAAAAAAAAAAAATAGAATCTAGTATACTTTATATTTTTATATTCCTTTACCATTCTTTCCTTTCTGATCATCTTTCTTAGTTCAGGTATGATTTTCACCTAATACTGCTAATACTGCATAAACTATATGATACTATGTAATTTATATGCATACATTTTCCTTTTACTGAGAAATACCAAAATATGATGATTCTATCTTCTTGTTGCTTATATTCTCTGCCAACACTAGCAGGGTTATTCATGAAAGGGTGAAGAGTTTGGGGAAGGCAGGACAGGAAACGTGAACAACTTAGGCAAAAATAGCTGATTTGGTAAAATCCTCCAATTCAGCTCACTTTCCAGTTCAGCTATGTTGTCCTAGATTGTCCACTTATCCTGCCCTCTCCAAACTCTTCACCCTTTTGTGAATAACCCTATAAGTGTTGGCCTCATTTACTACAAAGTAGAAGACAACCAATGGATGTCTCCAAGGCAGAGATTGTAGGATAAGTAAAGTTTGTATATGTTGTCCAAAGTTGTCCAGGTCTTCAGTATTTAAAGCAGGCTTTTCACTTAATGCAAGGTCTGCTTATTCAGTGAAGGTCCCTTCCCTATCTTATTTCACTCCACTAAACTGACAAAAAAAGCCTGTTATGGAAAAAGAAGTTAATATACTACTTTTTACCCAACTTCTGTACTGTAAGGGGTGACATCATTATCCTTCTGATGAGAACCCAGGGTTCTCCGGTGTACTACGACCTCATAACATGCTACTACGGCACAGCACTTTAGCATCTTCTTGAAAGATTCTGCTCTGCATTTACTGGAAGGATGGTGACAATACCCTCGTCTAGGCATTCCCAGCAAATTTAGATTGGGTAGAGACAGGGGCATATCTGCCGCGAGGCAAACAAGGTGTTTGCCTCGGGCGCCAGATTCCAAGGGAGAGGCAAAAATGCCGGGGTCTCAATGTACCGGTCCGCGGATCACTTGTGGCCCCCGAGCCGGTACTTTGTGACCCGCAGCCAGCTCAGAAGTCAGGTACGCGGTCACGGACTGCATGCCTGACTTACTGGAGCAGCTACACGGTCTGCATCTCTATCGGATGCAGACCGTGTAGCTGAGTCTGAGCCGGCACTCTTGGGCTTTGTCGGGTCTCAGGGGGGCTTTGTCGGGTCTTAGGGGGGCTTTGCAGGATCCATAGTGTGTTCTGCAGCCTGCAAAGCTCACCAAAGATCCTGCAGGATCTGTGGGGGCATTGCCGGGTCTCAGGGGGCATTGCCGGGTTTCAGGGGGCATTGCAGGATCTGTGGTGGGCTTTGCAGAATCCATAGGGGGCTCTGCAGCCTGCAAAGCCCACCACAAACCCTGCAGAGCCCACCTGAGACCACAGTCGGGTGGGGTAAATTTAGTGTGGGGGGGGCGCCGCGTTTTGCCTTGCCTAGGGCAGCCCCAAACCAGAATACACCACTGGGTAGAGGGCCATTACTGAATAAGCGGACCTTGCTATTTAGGTGCAAGGCCCACCTAAACCCACCCAGCACAGGATGTCAAAGTCTGCTCCAGACAGGCAATACACATTTTACATGAATACAAGTATCTCCAAGCACTGATATTGCTCTGAATGCTTTATTCTTTAAAATGCTGAATGCAACATTTGTTTCCAGCAGTGAGAGTAGTATCATTAATTATTGGCACCTGCATGTAGCAGAGAGAGAGATTATGTCAACATATAAACTGTTTGGGAGCGGTAAGAATAGGAATGCTCAGACAGCCCCAGTCCACTACAAAAAGTCTTTAGATAACGTTTACACCAAAGATGCCCTATGCACATTCCAGTCACAACTACAACTGGTATCTGGGTTTAAATACGTTAATAATGCACTTTATGATGTGGAAAAATAGCATTGCTGTATTTACTATAATGGCACTCTTGGGTCATTAAAGGGTAAGGTGTAGAGCTCCAAGCCTTAAAAAGGAGAACTATGGGGTTAAGGCTTTTCCCCATAGTTCTCCTTAGAGTAACGGGAGGACACAAACTAGCATCCTCCCGCCACCCTAGGCTCAGTATACCGCGTCCTGTAGCTTGAGGTATACTGAGACGCCGCAGCTGAAGCGGATCCCGACGATTATGTCTGGATCCGCCCAGCTGCGTGACTGACAGTTGGCTCTGCCTACCTAGAGGCAGAGCCAGCTGTACCCGCCCCCACCCCCGTCCGTTCCGCCAGTTTGCGCTGGCGGATCGGAGCGGGGGAATCCAGCCCCTCCCCTGTCACGGCAGAGACCCGTGACAGGATCGAGAGGTGAGCGACCCCCGGTATGTGTTCGCTCACCTCCCGATCTACTGAGCCGACCTGTGACAGTCTCATTTTCACAGGTCGGCTAGAACTATGAGGTGAGTGAAAAGCACTCACCTCATAGTTCTCCTTTAAAGATTTTGATAACATTGTACTATATATTTCTTCCCAGTTCTGAACATTTGTGGCTAATGAATGAGAACTAGGGGAAAGGAGGTGCAAGGGATGCTGAGAGCATAATATTCATTATTGTTCAAGAAAAATGAACTCATCTTTAGTTTATTTTGTTTAGTGGTTTGTTTAGTGGTTTGCAAAATAAAAAAGTAGCTTTGCATATAAAGCAGATTGCATGCTGCCACCAACAGCACATTCTACCAAAAGCTTTTACTAACTTAATCACATGACACCAGGGCGGAGTTTGTACAAAGGGTCTCATCATTCAGGTGTGTCGGTCAGCATGCTATCTAGTTACAGACCAGATTATAGGTATACAACAACAATGCACAGTATCCATCTTACAAGGGTTGGTGGCTCAGATGGAGTTCTTTCAGATATATAGCCATTTCTTTTCCTCCTCCTGTCAGCTGTGTTTTTAATATCAACCTTAAAAAATAAAAAAAGAGAGACGTGTTATGTAATGCACAATTAAATTTGATTGCAACAGTGCTGACAATGAAAACACATATCTGGGTACTATGGATCACTGATTTTTTACACACAGTTACAGAACATAATGCATTCTATCCTGTAGTAATCAGCACTACAACCACTAAATGAGTAATGCAGATGAATATTACATATGAGGAACAATGGACACAGAGGGATTTGCGCCTGGTCATGACAGATGGTGGAATAATCAGATACATATAATAGTACATTATGTTCTGTCCACCTTCTCAGCCCAGTTCCTCACAAGACAAGGGTGTGTGAAGGCCTGTGTTCCAGACTGAAGGCGGCCTGACGATCCAGTTCATCTTTTGTCTAGCATCCTGCGGAACAGTGACAATAATAAACATGCACACTATTCCATTCTTTAAAATGTATTATTTTCTAGAACACAGTGCTGGCCATATAAGTGTATGTGTTTGCAGATATTGCACACAGTTTGGAAATACAGCTGGACACTCAGACAAGCTAACATAAAATAAAGAATAACAGCAAAAAGAACATAGGCCAATGTCAAAATGAGGGAGTGTCTGTGTTTAGGCTTAACATTTACAAAATACTACATTGTTTGTTCAAAGATAAAACAATTGCTTAATCCAGTGCTGATCTGCCAACACAAGCATTATTTTCTTTCTGTCAATTCTGTCACTCTGTAGAGCTTGTTCATTTTCACACTCTCCTATACACAATATTGCACTGTCCTATACGCAAATATTTCAAAGGCTAGTTAAAGGGAATGTACATAGTTTTTCTTTCTAGATTTCCTTTTTATTATGAATAAGTGTTACAAATAATATTCCTTAACTGTTTGAATTTTCAAACAAATATGAAATATTGCATACAAACATTTGGTGTTTGTTTTCATATTCTGGAGCTCTTGGCTCCTTTTTACATGGTTCCAGGCTCTCCTTGTTTGCCTTTGCTTTACTGCTCTCTCTTTATAAAAGCCAGAGTGCTCTGAGAATACTAAGTTATAATTGCACCTTGTATTAAATGTTTAAAGTGACCCTTTAAAAAAAAAGATCCCATCTATACTCACCTTACCAGTGGCCCATGTCTGGAAACACATCTACATCACTGGCTGCTACAAGTATTCAACCTTTCCAGGTGGGTCAAATACCTGTCTTCCCCCGGATGATGTGGTTCCTCCCACAGGCATGTATGTAGTGACATATAAACAGGCAGAAGGAATCACTATGTGTGGCGGGAGGAGCAAATGTTCACACATCCAGTAATGTGCTTCTTTTACAAGACTTGCCTTCAGATAAAAACATAAATTTAAGTACTTACAAACTTAAATAAAATAATGACCCCAAATCATTATAATTTATGGGAAGTAAAAAGTCCTGACTAAGGCGTTACAGGGTGCATTTCTATACTGTCTGTTCTGAGAGATACAAATATATTTAAAAAATGAATTCAAAAGTTACTTTCAGTAATAATTTAAATTTTTCAGGTAATGTATTTCCAAATATAAATGGTGAGACATTGCTTTCCCGTGTCCCTTTGTCAGTGTATATTTTGTTAATGTAAAATAGTCAACATGGTGCTTACCACACTAAAATTGTACGTATGACGTCTTTTTAAATAAAAGCCTTAAAATTCAGAACTCTTCTTTTATTAGGCAAAGCAAGCAAGCAATATTTACATATACTGTATACACACACACACACACACACACACACACACACACTTAATCCTAGCATTACTCAATGAACACAACAGCAGAAGCCAGTAAAATAAAAAATTGCTAGTAAATAGAGATTTTTGGCAGAAGCCAAAATGCAAAGCCTCTTCCTCTTTCCCACAGCACTGTACAGTGCATGCATCTCTAAGATGCCATGAATGGGCTGATTGCCAGGGAGGATCATCGGTGGCCATCCAACAGCCAAAGAGGTCTTCAGGGAACCTGGCAGTGTCAGTGGTGGAGATGGCTGAGGACCGAAGATTGATCCAACAGCACTGGAGAAGGGCACACTTGTAAGGTAAGTTTATCCAAAAAAACGAACATTTACAAAGTGGTTTAATTCTGCTTTAAAACATTAATATAACACATGCACCTTGAAAACTATATAGCACCATGTTTGACTTCTGTCCACACTTCGATTGTCTAGCAGTCATCATTGTAGAACTGTTGGCTATTAACAGCCACAACATGCAACTCAAGGTGTCGCTCAGCCCCCCTCAAGCTATCTATGTCCTGTGATTGCATAGCCTGACCGGAAACTACTTAAGTACACTCATTTTTGCATGATGCTGGCAAAGATGTAGGTATCATGAGGGGTATTTTACCATAAGGTACAATAGCCAGCTGGTGATAGCTGGTAGTTTTCCAATAATGATTGCTGGACAACTAAAGTGCAGATGTTAAACATGGTACTATGCATTTATTAAGGCACATGACCTCTGAACTCTGCATTGCATAATATTGACGTGTGTTACTTACTACTGGCCTCAGAACTCTGCATTACTTACACGGATACCTTGGGTTTAGTGTAATGCTATAGTGTGAACCAGCCCTCAATGTATTTTTAAATAGTAGTGTAATTACGTAAATTTGTCTTGATATCAGCTTACCATATCTGCTGTACTACAGCACTAAGGAAGTGAGAGAGAGATGATCTACACTAGTAGTAATCCAGATTCTGCTACATGGAGTAATGACTCATCAGTGTGCTGTACTTCCTTCACTGACCAGTAAGCAGGTTGGGGTTGGCGCTTTTAACCAAGCTGTATTGCTACTACAGTGATAGTAAAGGGTTTGGCTGCCCTGTCTAGCAGGATTGCATGGATCATAAGACTTGCTAAACGGAAATCCTTTTGGCACACAAAAGTTCCCATACATGTATTCACTTGTGTGTTTAGCGGTTTGCCTGGAATTTAGGTATAATGTGAATTGTGTATAGCAATGTTGGAAGACTAAGTCCTCTTTTGAACAAAAGATAATTTGATGGTCATTTGATGAACAAATAGTTTGTGAATAAAGCTTATTATACTATGTGCACATGCACCTTAAAATGTGAAACATACAGGTCAGTTATATATAGATGTAAGAATAGATATGGCAGCCCCACTGTATTTATTCTAGCTAACTGCCAGTAATCACTTTAGAAATGCAAATTACAGAAACATACTTTGTTTATGTGTGGTAGCATATACAGTATATCATCTGACATGATTACAACATCAGCTAGTTATCTCCAGGAAGACACATAATGAACCAGATGACCTGGGTTATAAAAAGATACCCAGGGAAACATGGTACTTACAAGGCAAAGTGGTGTAAAATTATGTGGTAGAATCTGCTGCTTCCTATGGAAAATTGTAACCAAGGCTCATTCGCCTTCATATTTATAGGTTGAAACTCATATAGAAGGCAACAAGTAAGGTATTTACTTATTCACTGAGGCACCCCAACACTTGACTTAATTGTCTAAACAGGCAGGCCTCAACAATCCGCTGGTAAGTGTCCACCCCCTCCCTCCAATGCACATGCACTGCAGTTTCTAATAATTTCAGTAGCAGGCCATATAATATTTGAAGATGGTCCTTCCACTGAAATTAATAGAAACTACAGCACATATGTTCAGGAGGGGCATGGCCTGGCTGGGCAGATTTGGAAGAAAATACACACAGTGAGATTCACCAGAGCCTTTACGTTCAGGTAAGTATATACTGTTATGGAAATGTTCACCATGGGAAGAGAGAGACGAGACTTCGAAAGAAAGAAAGCCTCTGTCAGGATTTTATTGTTGTCTATGTCCCTGCAAGGGAGATTTGTCCAATAGTCACTGGAACAGAAAGTGATGGGAAATCCAAAATTTCCTATCACTAAAATAGCAAGTAAATGGAAAGCATCCATCCCAGTCTGGACACTATCTGCAAGGAGTTTGTATGTTCTTCCTGTGCTTGCATAGGTCTCCTACGGGTACTACGGTTTCCTCCCATACTCCAAAGACATGCTGGAAGGTTAATTGGCCCTGTATGCGTGTACAATAGGGACCTTAGATTTAAGCTCCTTGAAGACAGGGACTGATGTGAATGTGCAGTATGTAAACTGCTGCATAAAATTCTCAGCATGGGCACTATGAAGATATTGAAGCATATTGTATATTACCATATCACTAAGCATACAAGGAATATAACCTGTTTTTACTGTGCGCAGTATCTACCACACTGATTATGCAGTTAAATCTTTATGTTCATAGTATTGCTCTGCCTTAAATCAAGGCTTACTTTGCAACGTAATTTAAAGTCGTTTACTTGATAGATGCGCAAGCAGAATTACTACAGCACATTTCATAATAACGATAATAGCAATATTGAAGATGATGACGATGCACTATAACTAATGTTGATAATTATAGTCTATAAATATTGCTTCAAAAACACACATGGAATATAGTACTGAGTCATAGTGCATACGTACAAGTGACAGAGAACCCAGTGCAACCATGATGACAAAAGCTCCACAATCCCATGTAAATGTTACATAATGCCCATAATATAGCCATCAACATAGTATTTATAGAAATAATATCAGACTTCCCTCTTACATAAACTAGGCATGAAGTACAAGCCCAGTGCATGCACTGCTCATACATATTATAAAATTACAGAGGAACTGTACCAAATTATTGTTCTTATATACATCTCTGGTTGTCCCATTTACCTTGAGAAAATGTGTGGTTAGCTGTGAAACAATCATTGTTTTGGGGTTTATTTAAAGTTGGTTATTGAATGTCTGTGACTTGGAATGAAGATTATCTTACTGTACAGGGGTGAGTAGAACCTGAATTACTTTGGAATTGTTAAAGCAGAACTCCAGGCACACATTTTTTGGAAAGCCAATTACCAGGTGTTCTGTGAATGGGCAAGGAGAGGGTGGCAGGGCAGATAAACCACTCTATCAGTTCCATGTATGGGATCCACGGGGC